ACAGTTATCATAATTCGGCAGGAAAAATAACGATCATTCGCGGCTAGCACAGTAAGAATTTGCTGTCCAGCGGATGTTTTTTTCTTTCTTGCTTAGCAGTGTCTTCCTAATTACCTGTAACAAATGTTTTTGACTTTCGTAACAGCTTTCTGACACACTTGCTTTTATCAAGTCTTAGAGACCACTTATTTGATGACTATGGATGGTTCTCATAAGAAGTTGGCAAGTGTAAAGAATTAAAAATGTGATTAGTAGGCTGATCCCCAAAGATTTCGCAGGTACTCTGAAATGCCTTTGAACATCTTTTGGAGTCAGCCGCACTAAGTGTCAGGAACTGCTAAATCCGCATATTAGTACCAGTATTTACCAAAGTCTCTTACAGCCGTCCACCTGTTTTTCTGTCCGACTTAATGCTGCTAGACACATGCACAAAAATGTAAGGAAGGAGGGGCATGCAGCTGCTTTTCAGGCAACGCTCTTATCTGGGTCGTCACTGTTAATTTTGCTGTGAACATTTGTCCAGGTCATCGGTCAAGCAACCCCAATTATTTAAAACATGGCAAGAAACTGGAAGTCATTGCTTTTTTGTCGTATTGCACTTGTTCATCAATTTAAAATTTTAGAACATACGTTTCACGGATTTTTTCAATTTTCTTATGCTTGAGCTGTGAAGAAACGTACATTTGGATAGTAACTGTGATCACTTCAAGTGGATTTTGAAACGAGTCATCTTAGCTGACTTGTTTCTGCGGACTGTGCATGATCGTGTCAACTAGTCTCACGAGTTTCTCGTCGGCAACTTAATAAACCATCAGACGACTGATAAGTAAAGCCAAACCGGATCTTCACAAGTTACCGAGCACTTTGTACTGGAGTTCCAGTTACTCACTGTAATTGTGACAGTGCCTTTAATAACTGCCAGTCTACCTTGGTAGTACTGATGAGTCCCTCACCTAACGTTTCTTAGGAATTTAGATTACAGGCCTGCAGTATAAACATGGCTGCATCAACCTGCCATCCCACTGAGCTCATGAACATTAGAAAAGACGGTGCGGTGGACACTACCCAGATTTATTGGTTTCAGTCACGCTGATGATGCACCACATTTAACAGTAAGGAAAATAAGGGAAGCACTCCTGCCTTTTAGTTTTAATGAAATTTTACGGTAAAGGGCAAAGAACGACTTTTGCAGAATGAAGTACCTTTGGGCCGTATTAATTTCTCAACAGCAGCATGCACAATTTATAATATGAGAGAGAAATGAGAGAAGTAGATAAAGCCGGTGCAAGCAGGAGACATCAACAAAAAAAAAAAAACTGTGATCAACGTGAATGAGACGTATCAAATTGAAATTCGGGCATGAAACAGACTTCTGATAGGCAACAGCTGTGCATACATGCCTCACCGGCTAATTCACTGTAAAAACGCAGTAAAACAGCCTAAAAACTTCAGTATTGCACCGAACTATAAATCGAAAATAAACCTCCAGATTTACTGTGCCTTCAGTTAAATGCTGACTGCCTATCACATATTTGCCCAGTTCGTGTGTCATAACACGAAAGCCTTTTGCGCGACAGTGAATTCGGACGCTGGCTGTGCCAGATATGTGTGGGTACCGAATGCCCTTTGTTTTTAAAACTTTTGTGCTGCAGCTGATGTTCAGTCCGTACGGCAACTGTGCATTGGTACTCACAACGATCGGTTCGGCTTGGCTAGGCAAGCATCATATACGAGTTGGGGAGATTTTTTCTTGGTGATGGCGGGTAGGATCATCTCAGGAATTCAAATCTTGGGAGTTCGAGTGTATTAGATGCGAAAGGAAAGTGGCCTGCCGCAAGTTTCGTTTGAGGCAGAGGAGGGGGAGGCTGGACCAGAAGATTTAATAGCTACATGGCGTAGATCCTTTGGTGGTGGCTAGGTCACATATTCTGGAGGGGATAGGAGGGTCGGGGAGAGGGGAGGTGATGAGTAGAAAGGAAGAGAAAATGTGCTGTTGGTTTCTGCCGCGGATACCCTGGATAGGGAAAGGGCTGAACTACTACTCTCTTCCAGAGTGCTCATGCAGTGAGGTTGGAGAGGAGCTCAGATGTTGCTTTGCAGGCGGAATTTGGGGATGCGATAGAGAAGGGGAACAAGGAAACCCAGGCTGGAACGCACCAGGTGGGCCGGTGCGATTATGCGTTTTTGCACTTTTCGTACCATA